GGGGGCGTGGAGCGTGCCTTCTGGAGGGAGTCGTGTGTCCACTCTGCGCCAGACCCCGCGGGGCCCACCCTGGCCTGGCCATGCCCTGGGCCTCACCGACACACTTCCTGCCGCCAGCCGCTGGTGTTCGGCGCCATGGTGCACAGAGACGAGGCCTTCGAGACCATCTTCGGCCAGTACATGAAGGTCACGTCTGCAGCGGCCAGTGGCGACAGCTAGTGCCGGCTTCCCCGGGACGCTGCGGGCACTTCCCAGCACCGAGAGGGAAGAACCTGGACGTCCTCGTGACCTCGCAATAACTCGTCGGCCTGTGGTTTCTCACGTGTGGACCCTGCGCTTGACGGACCCCTTCATGGAGGGGCTGGGCTCGCGAGGATGGCGCCCGGCCGCCTCCGGCCTGCTGGCGTGTGAGGGTCCGCTAATGGACGCCTGTGGATGCAGGAGGGCACGGGATACTTAGTGGCCTGTCAAGAGGAGGACATGCAGTATGCTAGCCGCCCCTGCCCTGCCGGGCACATCTCACCCTCCATCCAACCCGGGTAGAGATGGACACCGCCATCCAGGGCTTGTGGCACCCGGTCCCCCACTCTGAGGCCAGGAGCTTTTCCAACACCAAAGCCATACCCGAGGAGCACTACGGGCCCTCCTGGGACTCGGGGTGCAGTGGGTTTTGGCTCGGGCCCTTTGTCAGCCTCCAAGGATGTGGTCACTCCCACCTCCTGGCAAGACCTCCGCGTTCATCCTGGGGGCCAGGGTGCAGCCTCCAAGGCCTCTGTGCTCAGCCCTTCTGGGAGCAGCGAGGGCTGGTGGGAGGGGCACCCTGTCATGGAATGACCCATCGCTGTGTCACCTGGCCCCGGCCAGGAGGGCTGCGGGGTGACCGCTAGGACGGGTGGCCTGTAGAGAAAGCACATCTTTTTGGCCTTTGGTTCTGAAAGCCCTGGGAGCAGCTAGGGAGGCCCCGAGCTGTGGCTACTCCCAGATGGGGCCAGCCTGACCTGGCTGGTGCTCTGACCAGCTGCGGCCTCCCTGGTTGTTGCTGGGGACAGCAGGAGCCTCCTGGTGGCCCAGGCTGCAGACACCCTGCCTGGCGGCAGCTCTGGCAAACCACTATGAGCAGAGCCAGAGGTCTGGGGCCAGAGCGCTCCCACCAGACACCCAATAGTATTCCTTGCCCAGAGCGAACGCCGGTCTGCGCACAAACCCTCCTGGCCTCGCCGGGCTGCCCCTCAGGGGCTGGGCTCCAGGAAATATGTTCCCTAGGACAAGGGGCCCTGAAGGCGCCGCAGGGGTGGCTTGTAGGCCTGGTCTCTGCCGCGACATCTGGCCTGGCTCGGAGATGAGGCAGTGGTGGCTTAGGATCAGGACGGGCCTGTGACCTCTTGGCAGGCAGGTCTTTTCCGGGCAATTATTCCCGTTCCTTCAGCTTGTCCCAAGTCTTTGGGTATTGTTGAGATTGTTGTTTTTTTGAAGAAACAGAAGATTATATTTTTTACAGAGAGCGAGCTGTTTCCTTATTTTTGTATCATTTTTCAGATGTAATTTCTACCTTCGCTCCGACCCTCATTGCTGGTTGGTGAGACCTGGTGGCAGAGGCTGGTCACCCCTTCGAGGGGCAGGGGTCTGCAGGTGTGCAGGCTGCTTCGGGGCCAGCCACACTGACCAGCCAGATTAAGCACACACCCCGCCCCAGCTGGTGGCCCGCAGGCTCACAGCTACACGTGTGGTAGCATTCCTGTGACCGCACTTCGGAAGTGCAGGCAGAACCCCCTCGAAACTGAGTGCCCGAGTGCTTGAGGCAGGGGCTGACTTGTTCCCAAGGACAGCTGTGGGTGACACAGTGATGGTCCCACTTCTCCTGGGGACCCTGGCAGTGCCTGAGGGTGGGTTCCAGGGCCTCAGGGCGGGATCCCGTCCCCAGGCAGAGTGGGTGGGGACCCTGCAGCAGAATGTGGGTTCTTTAACAGAGTAGTGGTTTAGTTCGAGTCCCTTTTAAGGAGGAAGGGAGATGAAAACTGACCACGTGCCACTGTGGCCACTGGGCTCCCCCCCCAGCAAGGGCCAAGGTGGGTGCGCAAGGGCCACTGAGCACCCTTGGGCAGCCGGGAGTGGGGGGCTTGGGCTCCCGGCTGGAGAGGACTCATAGTTTGTATTGAATTGTGTAAATCGGGGCAGATATTTAATTTCTACAACTAACCCTGGACTAGGATGAATGTTAACTTTTTTACGTCTATTTTGGAGCTGTAAATAATCGTTAGAGTGTAACTCATTCAGCAGAGATTGTACTGTACGAGGAGCCGATGAAATCCCCTGTAACGTTTTTTTAAGAAAACTTTGTTTGTTTAAAGAAAAAAGTCTTGTATAAATTATAATTTTTATTTAAATAAACCTAAACCGCTTTGTGCTAAGGCTTGGGGTGCTCAACTTTCTGGGAGTGCCATTAAGAAAGGAAGTGGGTGAAGGCTGCCGGGAGGGGTGAGTGCTGGCCTCAGCTTGGGGCAGGGCCGCAGGGCTGGGTTCAGAGGCTGCAGAAGGGCCAGAGGGAGGGGCTGGGGAGGCGGGGCAGTACCTGGGGCCCAGCCGTGGTGACCAACAGCAGAGAGCTTTGGGGCAGAGGTTGATTTCTGGGCATGCGGGGTGGGGGGCAGGTGCACCCATTTTTATTCATTTCTTGAAGTTGTATGTGTGTGTTTTTATGAGAAACTGTCTGCTTTGAAAATAATAGGAATTTGTAAAAGAAAGGGAAAAAAAGCCAAATTCTGCCCAAAGTAACTTTATTTTTTCTTTTCAAACTATCAGATCAAATGTGCCATTTTCCAATCTTGAGACCAGCAAGATTGGCAAGACAGTAAAGCCAGCCTCCCCACCGGTGTGTCCCAGTTAGCCGGGGGCCAGCACGGGAGGTCGGACTCTGCCACCAGGAAGCGGGCTGGCGACGCTCGCTTCCAGCGCGGAACAGGAAGCTCGTGACCCCTGCTGCCCAGCTGTTCTGCCAGCCAGGCTCCGAGGAGCTGAGGCCCAGGATGGCCCTTCGCCCGATCCTACGCTCGCTCGCTCTCAAGCGGCATCGCGAGTGGCTCTCTGCTCCTTCACGCCCAAATACGGGATAGCCGCTCGGTCTGAAGGCTTCGCGGCGCTCACAGCCTCCCACACAGGACCGTGTGCCAGGCATGTCCTGTCCCATGCTCACACATGGGGCAGGCAGGGCTGGCCGACGCCCACAGTACCCCAGGACAGTCCAGCTTTGCGGGTGGGACATCAGCGTGCACTGTAAGTGTCACCGCAGCCACTGGGGGCGGGCCTTGCGTACACTGCACGTTCTGTTTCTCTCTGAAAGGGCAGGGATGTCAGGACAGACTGCACGGGGACACCTGCCAGGGACAACACGGCCTCGGAAGACTTCTGGGGGAAGCCTGGGAAGGAGCACAATGCCAGGGGGCCCAGGGCGACAGGCTGCCCAGCCCGATGGGGCCTCTCCTCAGCACACGCCCATGCCCTGGGTGCTCTAGACCGCTGCCGGTCCTGCGCCGGCCACGGATATGCGCGACTGCCCCTCCAAGGGCTGCCGGTCCTGCGTGTCTGGTTTCTTCTCAACCAGGAACAAGCAGGGACCGAAGCCCCTGATCTCTTCACTTTCTAGCTAGATTTTCACTCAGCCATGACTAACCCTAACCCTAACCCCATTCCCCTGGATGCCGCGGTCCGTAAACACCACCTTGAAGCTGCCCTTTCATCTGGCCCCGAGGGGCTGGATGACGAACGATCTGAATCAGCACAAGGGAGTTCGACAGGCATGTGCCTGCTAGAGGCTGCCATGGCACGGACCATGACCTCCACCTGCAGCAGGCAGGGCAGCCAAGCACGACCTGCTCTGGGACCGCCCAGCCTTCCCCCTGCACACCAGAGCTGAAGCCACACACTCCTGTATTTCAGACCGACTGTCTCACACGCATCTCACACGCACGGCGTGGAGGCAGACCCACCAGGGAGGTGGCCGGCACCAGACTCCCAGGAGCTGAGCAGGCACAGCTGCGGCCCCAGCACCAGGACAGGAAGCAGCATCCCATCGTGGAGGAGGTGGATGCACTCGGGCAGCTTAAAGGGACAGAGCTTTCAACAACCAGACTCCAGTGTGAAGACGGGACAGGCGGGCCAGACCAGGCACCGACGACAGGGCTGCACCGAAGGGCTCCCGCTGGAGCGTGGGAGCAACCCCCCCACACACACGCAGGGGCTGCGGGGTCCCCCA